TAGCATAAACTGTGTATAGCATTTCACCCTGTAACTACCCTAATACTAGGAGTAGGGGCATAGAACTTGATACAAAGTGGTTTCTTCGAGATATCTATCGAATGATATGTGCGAAGATCGATTTGGTTTGGCGACATTTTTACTCTCCGCTCCATTCAATTATATGCTTTCTGGATGTTTTCTCAAGAAAGCGGGTACGGCGCGGGTACATCGGATTAAATAAAAGGTTAAATAATGTTAACCCTTTGTACTCAGAAGGTGATTCTCAGTCACCATTTGATCCGACGCAGTGAAACTATAAAATCTGATATTTAATGTTGAACTTTGTATAATGCCTCGATACTTGAAATATTAGAATAAAATAGCTTTGTTCCTGAATGTACTCGTGATTTCCGTTCGAGTTAGTTTCAAAGAATATCGTCTTTGTTTTGTCAAAAAATGTTAAATATTTCTAGTGAGAAACTTCCGAGTGCAAAGGGTTAAAAAGAAAAATGTTTACATTATTTTTTACGCATATTTCAATCTGTCATGCAAAACAGCAGGTACGTATTATGCATTGATAGAAAGAAGGTACTTGAAATGAATGTGAGTGTAATTGGTCGAGGAGGCAGGATGCACGCACAATAATTAACTCTCTTTTTACTAATGTGGTCAGCAATATGAACTTTTTATTTGTAAATATCTAAAAAATGTTGAAGATACTTCTTGCAGTCCTAAATTTAATATACAACTTACACTTTAGCCAAATCTTCATATCATTTTACAATAAAAATTAAAAATTGCGATGAAGAAATGAGGTTTTCTATAGGTCATTAATGGTTCGTATTGCTGGCGGAAAGTTAGAGAAACTCTTCGCGCCATGAATGCCAACTCTCCATCAACGCGTAGTAAGTAGTGTAAAATTCCATTGGAGATGAAACTTATTAAAATTAATTGATAACGTATACGTATTAGAATAAGAGCATGTGCTTCTTACACACATACAATGTACATCACTTATATTTAGTTATTAACGATTACTTAAACGTTATCTGATGAAATTATTCCACAATCCTCACGATAAACAAGATAGTGTAGTAAATGACACGAGACCACG